CGTTACGCCTACTATGGTTACTTCGGTTGTAACCCACTCCTACAAGTATATTCTAGGCCTTTTTCCATTTATGTCCCTTACAGACTAAGATCTAACATTACAGATCATCCTTCACTCTTACATGCCTTAAAGAGGTCAAATATAACCATCGAAGGTGGCTAGTATCGATATTCTACTTGCAGTATCGATACCCTAAGGTCAAGTATCGATACCCCTATGAGTATCGGTACCAAAAATGCATTTTGTTACTGAAATTTAGGATCAGTATCGATACTGTTACTCTGATTATAGATACTGTAGGGTTAGTATCGATACTCTTCCCAGCAGTACCGATACTCCTAGTTGAAAATCCTTAATTTTCATTCTAAATCATCCAGTATCGATAATCAAACCCAGAAATATCTTATTTAGGCTCGGAAAACACCTATAAATCGTCACTAATGTCTTAGTTTGGTTTTTAATCATATGCTAAAACTTTAAGGAGTTAATTAGTGTAACACCCTAATCAGATCTGACCCGAAGCTGATAAAAACCATCTTTTTAAAATAATTCGACCAAATCATCATATAGATGTCCCAAAATATAAAATGCTTACAAAATAAAGGTGTTTCAATATGGGGGAACTCCCAACATCAGTCTACAATATATAATAAAAAAATAAAATATAGAGTTTACAACTCAAATATAATTAAAGGTCTATGACAGTACATGCCCACTAAAATACTCGATATGTACTCTGAAGAATTTGAGTCTGGCGAAGAGCTCCTCAACTAACACCTAAATATATGGGCACGGAAACACATTTCATACATTGAGCTCACAAGCTCAGTGCCATATAAATAACCCTACTCGACTACGTGCATTCAACATATAAGCATGCTACAAGTATGATCATAAACAATTGCAAACATTAGAGCAAAACAAGTAAGTATCATTGTGTAGTTTGGGGTTACTTAACCTCACAAAAATCATACTCCTCTTTACTTACTACAAAATTTAAGGAAGACATGGGTCACAAAGCATCAATGTCTCTCTAAACTTCGGGTTAAGTTCGGGTCACGAAGCGTCGGTATTTTACCCGACTAGTTTACTTTTTCAAAGTACTCGAGATGTGTCTAGGTCACATAGCATCGGCACAACATCCATCTAGCAATTAGAGTGACTAAGTACTAATTTGGATTTATCTGGATAATCCTTATACAATTACACTGACGTCATTAAGTAACTCGGGTGTCCTCGTTGTTTCTCAAACATCAAAAAAATGCAATAGTCTTATGGAATCTTACCTCATTAAGACCTTATGTTATCACACATTTAATTACGATTACAACTTGTATTCTTATGGAAGAGTATACCCCTTTTAAGAAACCCAACCCACATTTCTCAAATTAGCTAGAAAAAAGGCCCAAATTTCACGTGGGTATTGATACAACCCTGGGAGTATGGATACTCACCCTCCTCAGTATCGATACTCCCTTGAGTATCGATACAAAAATTACATTCGATGTTTCAGAAAATACCCCATTGGTATGGATACTCCCTGGAGTATCGATACCACAATTGTATTCTGGAATCCAATTTGGGACCCTGAGTATCGATGCCAAATCCTGAGTATCAATACTCTATGTTGAGTATCGCTACCCTCTTCACAAACATTTAAAATTTTACTCTTTCACGGAGGAAATATCGGTATTGTTCATCCAATTCCGATAACCCTTGCTCGAAAAGCCTTGTTTCACTCACTCAAAGTCCTCAAAATCAGTCCTAAAGAGTCTCTAAGTCCCCCAAGTGATATTTAAAGCTTATTTAGTCCATGAGAAACATAAAAGTCCACTACTTTACACAAGAATAACAACAAATTATGTTTTCATACTTTAAAGCCCCACCCAAGTGCACACAAAGGTTCATACACCCAAACATGCATCAAAGCTATACATATTGATCTACAAGCAGTAAGATAAGGTTAGAAATATGTTACCTTTCACCTAAGGGTTGCAAGATGACCTCAAGCTCAACCAAGGTTCACTTTCTCTTTGTTCTTTACTTTTGAGCTTTCATCACTTCTCTCACTAATAAAAAACAAAGAAAATGATTACTAACTTACTTGAAGGCCTAAAGAAAGTAAAAACATGATTCTAAACTCTTTATGCCGGATTTGGAGCACCCAAGAGCCCTAGAATCCAAAACCCCCCACTAAACCTCTTCCATGGCCACCATAGCCAAACTCTAAGGTTGAGAGCTTGATTTAAAGATTTAGAGAATATGATTTTGATTCTTTTATTCACTAAATCGAAATGGGAATGTTGAACAATAAGTTTCCACATTTAATTTAAGCACAATAAGAAGAATGAGATAATTAAATAGGAAGAGGAAGACAAAGAGAATGAAAAAGAGTAATGAGAGCCCTTGCACGTTTACATCACCATCTTTAAATGATATTCATCCTTTGAAATAATTTAGGGGTAAATTACACTCCTAGTCCCCCTCTTTTAAAACCCATTTCAAAAACACCCATTTTTAAGCCTTATTGGGCTCAAGACCAAACCAAAATAACTTTATTTTACCCAACACTCTTAAATGGGTTCCTTGGCCTAGTTAAAGTTCATTTGGGTTTACTCGAAATTGAGACGTTATAATTAGGGTCTTAAGGTGTCATAAAAACACTTTCTTTACACCTAAAACATTATTTAATTATAAAATCAATTATAAACCCTAAAATGCTTAAATACTTAAACCTAGCAAATATTCATATTTATGAAAGCCTTAGCACTCCAAATGATTAGAAATACACTACTGTGATTAAAGAATCTCGGAATAAAGATCATTTAGCTAACAAACACCATCCACCAAGACTTGGATGATAAACCCCCCCAAATCTCTTGCAACCAAAGAACCCAAAGCTTTAAATCATTAAAACGATGTTGCTGGAGGGATTAGGAGCGAAAATGAAGCTTAAAAGAAGTAAGAAATGACTCAAATGACTTACCTTTGACTTATGGGGATTGGAGAAAAAAGAGAGGGAAAATGATAAGAAAATAAGAAAGTGAAGAGAATGAGGAGATGGAGAAGATAAAAAGCTTCATCTTTTTGAAATGGTAAAAACGCACATTTGGTCATTCCTTATTTTTTTTCTACAATTTAAAAACCCTTTTTTTGGATAATTGGGCTTAATTCCAACCCAATTAAGCCCAACTCAGCCCTGCGACTTTAATTATAAATTACACGAGGTTCATAAACCTCTCAAATAATCTCAAAACTACTAACCCAAAATTTAGGGTGTAAGAGATCAGCTAGTTTTGGGGTTTTGAAATTTTTAGGAGGGTTTTTGAATTTTTTTAAAATATAAGGTCTTTTTTCAAAAAACAATAAATAAAGTATGACACGTGTTAGACAATAGAGTCTTCTAATAGCCATTACGGTGTAGACACTTAAAAGTATAACGTTTGGAATGTTATGCACCTATTTTGAGCAAAAAATTCTTTAAACATCTAAAATTAGCTTTAAGTATAATCTGGACACTTATTTTTACATTAATTGACTTTTAAAAGTCAAAATTTTAAAAATTTTACCATAATTATTTTAAATATTTTAACAATTGAATTTTATAAAATATATATTTAAAAATATTTGTTTGAAGATTTTTAAAATATATTTTTTTCATAATTTTCATATATTATTCAAACAGAGTAAATACTATGCAGTCTTAATCTACTTAACTAGGCATGTAAACGAACCGAACGTTCAACGAACTGTTTCTGAAACGTTTGGCGGAAAGTTCGTTTATGTTCGTTTTCTTATTAAATGAACGAACATGAACAGAGGGCTCGTTAGTTCATTTACGTTCGTGATCGTTCGGTAATATGTTCGTTCATTTATGTTCGTTCGTTTATGTCTGTTTATGTCCGTTCGTTTATGTGTGTTCGTTTATGTTTATCTCAATCTCTTTAGACTCATTTAAAATATTAAAGCCCAATAAATTTTAATCTGATACCCATAAATATTTTTAAATTCAATTAATTTTAAATACAAATAAAAAATCTCAAAATAAATAAATAAAGTATAATCCTAAAATTGTTAGCTAAGAAAAAAATATATATTTTCAGTTATGTTTGTTTATGTTCATTTATTGTGTTCGTTTACATTCTTTCGTTTGTGTTCGTTTTCGTTCATTTATTTTGTTCGTTTATGTTCATTTACATCCGTTCGTTTATGTTTGTTCATTTGTGTTTGTTTATGTTTGTTCATTTGTGTTCGTTTATCATTTAAATGAACGAAAACGAACAAGCTACATTCCCTAACGAACGAACACGAACAATAAATTTTTTGTTCGTTTATGTTCGTGTTCGTTCATTTGTTCGGTTAAAGTTAAACGAACGGACATGAACATACCCCTGTTCATGTTCGTTTGGTTCGTTTATATGCCTATACTTAACTCTCGAACCAAAAACTAATTATACTCACTTTAGGATAGCATTATAATTGTAAGTTCACTTAAATCTATAACGTACGTCTAAAAAGTTTACGATATACTAATACTTGTGTCTAGCAAAGTGATACTCGTAATCTAACTAAATCGGATGGGGTTAACGTACAATACCAATCATGCATGTGGTGGCATGGAATAATCAATGCGAACCCTAACCTCACCATTCCCACATCTAATTGGTCCGGCAATGATATTTGATAGCATGTGAGTCGAGCTGCAATGCATCTCTCCATTTGCTATATCAATTATTGCAAACAAATTATGAACCAATGCTGGACAGAAAACAGGACAAGTAGACAAAAATTTCATGTTCGTTGTCACCACCCTCAAGTTGCTGAAATCCCATGCATTCGATTAAAGGAAAACATATCAGACATAGCTTCCTTTGGTAACCACTCATTTGCCTAAATGAACATCACAAAATACAAGTTGGCTTAATTACATGGTATTTTATGATCATTCTTGGATGGTTTTGATATTATATAAATGTATATGAAGTACGTGAAAGAGAGAATTTTCCCTATGGGGGACCATGGATGATTAACTATATAAATGCATGTATTTCCATTTTGAGTGATGTATGGTGAACATTCTTCAACTCAGTTGGGCAATATTGCTTAAAAAAGAAGGAAATTAAGGGAAATGATACTCACAAGTTTCCTCCCCAGAAGCTTACAAAACTCCAGCTACTAGTCCTCTCTCCCACTCAGTCAGCTCCCAGCTCAGCAAGCTCACAAAGTTTCTTTAAAAAACCCTCTTCTGGTTCTCGACTGAATACACCAATATCTCTTTTGGCCATTTCTTCAGTCAGTTAATTAGCGAGCAGAAATGGAGTCCACCAAGACCTGTGCTCTCTTCGTAGTTTTCTCTCTTCTATTCCACTCATCATTCATCGGTGCTTGCAACTCATGCAAGACACCAAAGCCGAAACCTATTCCGCCTCCGGCATGTCCTCCGCCGGTAAAGCCAGCTTATTGCCCTAAAGACACGCTGAAGCTAGGCGTTTGTGCTGATTTGCTTGGACTGGTGAACATCGTGGTGGGAACGCCTCCGACGAGCAAATGCTGCGCTTTGATCCAAGGCTTGTCTGATTTGGAGGCTGCCCTTTGCCTTTGCACCGCCATCAAAGCTAATGTTCTTGGGATCAACCTTAACGTCCCTGTTACTCTTAGCCTTCTCCTTAGTGCATGCCAGAAGGAAATCCCTCCTGGGTTCATATGCTGATAGGGTTCTAAGAAAGCACGATGGGTTCTTGTCGGCTAAAGTTTGCTCTACTTCCGTATCCATTACGATGTTGCAGATTAACGTGTCTTTGTTTTTAAAGTGTTCCTTTTGATTAGTACATTTTCAAGTTTGTTGGCATCGTATGATACTTGTTCAAGTCGTATTAAGAAAGGGGTTAACATCTCTGCAGATTGTAAACCCTGTTTATTAAAGTTGATGTTGGACTGATTCTGTTAATGTCATTCTTTTACTTTTCAGCATAAGGAGTATAAGAACTAATCGAATCTTTGGAAAAGATAATTAATTATTAAATTAATAATGACAGATAACCTAAAGATAAAGAGATTACAATATGTCAAAAAAAAGAGAGAGCAATTACAAAAACGATTAAATTTTAGGGTAAAGTATACTACTGGTACATCGACTATAGGGTAAAGTATACAACTGGTCACTTGATTATAGGATACTACTTTATTATGTCCCTCGATCATTAAAAATTACAAAATGGTCATCAAACTATAGAGTGTTGTTTTGTTGAGTCCATCGGCTATTGCAAGTTACAAAATGGTCACTCGAGTATACATTATGTTCCAAATCGTCCTTCTTTGTTAAAAATTTGGTGATCGTCTAAGCTAGACGTTAACATGTTGACTAAAATATGGTAGTTGTTTGAGATTTTAGGATCATATTTTATCAATTCACAATTAGAAGTTAATGTTCAACTCAGATTGTAGTCAGTTTATAACAAAAAATAACGATTTTGAAGCATAATGAATTGTTGGATAATCATTTTGTAACTTTTAATAGTCGATAAACTTAACAAAGTAACACTCTATAGTCAAAATACCATTTTATAACTTATAATAATCAAGAGAATTAATAAATTAGTACACTGTAATCGGGGACCGTTTGTGTAATGTACCCTAAATTTTATATACATGCAAATCCAATATTAATTCTATTAGTATTATTATTATTATTATTATTATTATTAACGTGTCTTTGTTTTTTTTATTATTCAACTTATTAAGTTAATATTTTTAATAAATTATATGATTTGTTAATCGATTAATTCAGATTAAATATTATATAAATAATATGATTTTTTTCATTTAATTTATTTCGGTGACAATATCATAATTCAAATAATTAATTTTAAATAATTTAATATCTTATCATAATAGATAAAATAACGGGGGAAAAATTATTGTTAGGAGCCGATGACATAGTTTTGATGTGGCTTGGGAGCCACACCATAACATCCTGGCTTAAAATCTCTGTTTTTGAAAATCGGATCAGACCGGTCGGTTCAACCGGTTCAATCAGGAATCGTTGTTTACTTCGATTCAATTTAAACCGATTGAACCGCTATTAGTGAACCGGTCAGAACTATTGAACCGTTCGAACCGGACCGGCTAAAAACCGAAAAAACCGAGATTTTTGTTTTTTTTAAAAAAAATTAAACCAAACAACGTCGTTTGTTAAACGAGCCAAGTCGAACTCGAGTATTGCTGAGCTCGACTCGAACTTGAAAACTTTAAAAGTAAGCTCAACTCAACTCAAACTCACAAGCTAAAAATTATCAAGTTCAACTCAAACTCGAAATATAATATTAAAACTTGAACTCAAAAAGGCTTGAACTCAAAAAAAAAATTAGAAGCTCGATTGAAGCCTAAAATTCGAGCTTGATTGAAGTGAAAGAATAGTTCACTCAATGCTTACCAAAAGGCTCCATGATTTTGAATGCCAAATTACATTTATTATTTATAGAAGTTAGTTGTGATGCGCTTCTATGTTTCTTAGCAATGTGAGATTGTTTTGTTCTCATATTTTTACTCTTTAGACTTTTGGGATGCTCTTCTATGTTTCTTAGTCATGTGATATTGTTTTTAAAAAAAAATTAAACCAAACAATATCATTTTGTTATGATTTTTTAACCCCAAATTTATTTTTAAATTATAGTTATATAATTATATTTATTATTTAATATGTTTTACCTTAAATATTATGTTGTAGTTAATTTGAATCATTTTGTTTCACTTGATTTTATGGTTTTTAACTTATATATGTTATGACTTGCTTTGAATATGACTTGTGATATAAAAAATTATTTTTTATTAAATATTTTTGGTATTTTTATTTAATTTTTTAAATAATGATGATGTCGTCCGGTTCTTCCGACCGATCAAATCAGTTCGATCAATTAAACCAATGAATCGATAACATAACCGGTTCGCTAACCGATCCGGTTATGAAAACCATGCCTAAAATCAAACCATCTCTTGTATGCAACTATATTTTTTTTTGGGTATCCCCGAGGTATGCAACTATTTGTACCAACGCTTTCTACACCTATTTCTTTCCCAGGCTGCTTTATGCTAATTAAAGAAACATGGCTTTACCAGCAATAAGGTGCAAAATACTATTTAAATTTTGTTTATATTTTGTACAATATGATGAATAGTATAAAACGGTTCAGGTCATAATCAATTAAATTCCAAGTTAATTAAGTTTAGATGGACTTCAGGTCGGATCTTGTTCAGACCGGATCACATCATTGACAAATAAAATTCAGGTCGAATCTTACCGGTTACGGATTGATTTTAGGTCAGATAATTTTTGGGTTAATTATTTTTTGTGTTTCATGAACGATAAAATTTTTAATTGTATATGGTTTGGAGTAAATTACAAAAAATGTAAATAATTGCGAGTCAATGAAAAATATAATTTTAAGGACTAAATTGAACAAACAAGAAATTACAAACAAAAATTTAAATAAATTAAACAACACACATGTATGAGGACTAAATCAAAATATAAATAAGTATGGGTCAATTTCATATACAAGTATAAATTTAAGGACTAAATTAAACAAATTAATATTTAAATAAATTACACAATACGTAGGGATCAAATTCAAATAATTGTAAAATATGAAACTAAAATTAATATAAAAATGGACTGAATTGCATTCATTTTAAAAGTTGAGGAAAAAATTAAAACAATTTTAATATAATATAATATAATATAAGTATATAGTATAAGTATAATATAGACTTATAATATAAGTATATATTATACTTGTAATATATACACTATACTTATAACTATAAGTATATATAAAAACTTATATATATATAAGTATATATATATAACTATACATTATACTTATAAGTATATAGTATAAGTATACATTATACTTATGCATATGTATAAATATACTTATAAATATAACTATACATTATACTTAATAAGTATATATATATACACACATTATACTTATATATATAATTATACACACATATATATGTATATAAAAGTATCTATATATAAGTATGTATATAAGTATAAAGTATAATATATAAGTATATGTATACATAAGTAAATATATATTCACATTTAATAATTTTGCACATTAAAAAAAGAAGAGAAAATTAAAAGTAATTAGAATGTATACAGTACTAAATTGCATTGAATTGAAAATTTTAAGAAAATATTTATAATTAGACCATGACTAAAATGAAAGAAATTTAAAACTAAATTAAAAAATAGAAAACCACTAATTGTTAGAGGACCGCGACCTTAATTAACCCAAAAATCTATTTTGGCACCACATTTATGTACATACGTATGCAAAAATCAAATTTTCCGGAGAAATTATACAGTGGGATACCCTTAATATACAATTAAAAAAATGTTGTTAGTTTTGTTATTATTTAAATAACAAAACCGGTGAAAAATTACCTAAAACATTATTATTTCTACTTAAAACATAAATATTTTTTAACATTTCCGATAAAGTGTCTAGCAAGAACAAAACCGGTAGAAAAAAAATAATAAAACCGGTAGAAATAAAAATATTTCCGATAATTTTTTATTGGTTTTGTTATTTAAATAATAACAAAACCAAGAACGCCCTTTTTAACCGTATATTAAGATTGTCGCACGTGACCATTTCTCAATTTTCTCTCTTCCCAAAAAAATCAATTTTTCCTACTCCAAAAATAAAAATCAAATTTTGCCTTTTCTTTCTTCGAAATTCCCAAAAAAATAATTTTTCCCTCTTCTAAATTTAGGCAAAAAAAAAATAAAATTTGTCAAAATTTGCAATTCCCTCTTCTAAATTCATAAGAAATTAATTTTTTCCTAAAAAACAATTTTTCTTTTAAAAAATTCTCCTACCACGCATGTGAATATATATATAAGTATATTGTTATTTAAATTGATGCTTAAATTTTAAATTTTCAATCTCAAGTAAATTTATTTTTATATATATTTTAAAATTTTAAGTTAAATTGTATTTAAACTATTAATTAATTAGTACATAAAAATAATTTAACTTATAAATATTTAAATTAATTTTATATAATCTAATAAAACCATGTTAAATAAATAAATTATTTAATGAAATTAATTTAATGATTATAATTAAGATTTATAATATAAAGATTATAATTAATATAGAAAGTAAATTTATTAATTTAATTATCATAAGTAACATTTTTTAACTTTTAAAGAGTAATCATATTAATTATCATAGTTTATTTAATTGTCAAAAAATTATAACTAACAATTTATTTTAACTTTTAAAAAGTAATCATCTTAATCATAATGGTTTATTATAAATTCAAAATCTCACAACTTCATCGATTGTAACTTATAAGTTAGTTAAATATCAGTTTAGTTTAATAACATGTCGGATTATTTACAGGTTGAATCAATTCAGATCATGTTTATAATAGGTCGGGTAATATAAGTTATTTACCGAGCTAATCTCGGGTTCTAGTTCATATTAGGTCAGATGTAGGTCGGGTTCGGTTATCACATTATTAAGTTCATGTTGTTCTCAGGTCGGGTGCATGTCGTAAATTTTTAGGTCAAATTAGGGTTAATGTTAATACGAGTTCGGAATCGAATCAATTTCAGATCACAAGCCTCGAGTCATGAACAATTTTGATTTAAATCGATTTCAATCAATTTTGTAAGTTGGGTTAGTTTTTTATTTCCCTAGGTGGCAGGCTTGTAATGTAGAGACCCATAAGGTCACTATTGAGAAGCTGATGAAGATATGTCGGTAGATCATTTAGAAGTGACACAGTATCATCTTAGACATTT